CATCTGTTTGCCTCCTAAAATAGCACGTGAGAGAGGCCCTGGGGGCTAGGTTTTTGTCTGACAGGGGTACAAAGGGAAAGAGGAAGGGGGCGCTTAACCGCCTTTTAATAAGCCTGTTCAAGTGTACCAGTCACATCTCAGATTTTGTTGGCCAAGTGATCTAAAATAATAGATTTACATTCAAGCCTCTTCTTTTTATCTCGTGATAAATAGTGCGCATAATAATGAATATGTGGAGCGCCGCCGGAACCTGGGACGGTAACGTTGAAAGGAGAAAAATAGAGGCGAGAGGTTATCCCTCCTTCATATCACACCTCTCTTTCTGACCTGTCGTTGTTATTCAAGTAAAAACAAATTGGTGTTCTAGGAACGAGCCAGAATATAGTCGTTGAACAGATGCTGCGAGAGAGGGGTAGTGTTCATATTTTCAATGTAAATTTAAAAAAGGTAATTCGGCCCCAAAAATGGGGCAAAACGCATGAGTCCAGAATTGTACTATTGTAGGGGCCAATTTGGTCTCATTAAAATGGATCTTTTTGTTAGCGTTTTTGGAGGTCTAAATTGACCCTTGTACTGGGGCCAAACACCGGTGCCATTTTGGATTTTGGAATGGTCAGAACAGCCCCCTCAATTTTTTGCCCTCTTGAAAACTACCCCTTCAAAAAGAGCCGATTCAGCTCCAGGTTGGGCCATTTCAGAAGATGACGAGTCTTTTCTGTGTCTGTTACAAGCAAAAACGAAACCAAAATACAGTGTGTAATTAGAGCTTTTACGCATTTACTCACTTCTAAATGAGTTGCTACACAAATTTTTAAATGGAATAATTAAGTGAATTACAAAAGTGATTATTGTGGTATCAAACATAAGCGCCTTTGCTGTTCTCCTGTAGCAATAAGGTTGCCCAGTTAACATCCGAGAATAAAGCGTTGAAAACGCAGAAAAAGAAATTAATGGAAGAAGCTCAAAAACTGAAGACAAACGAAAGTGGCACCAAACTGAAGGGTGACAGCGGTCGAAGACTTCCAGAAGGTACGTTTTACATTAGTTTACTAAGGGTGGTTTCTAACAGCGACCATGTCGGAGTCGTTATCAGAAGTATAGAGTCTTGTGATCTACTGAAAATAGTGTTCCGATTCCGCTTACGATTCGAATGGAGACTAGGTTATCTTTCGCTTCTGCTTCCAACTTAGACTACGAACTGCCTCTTTTTTTAGTCTGCCGAGCGAAAAACAAAAGCCACCTTTGTTTCTCGCGCACAAACACTCCCCTCACTAAATCGGAAGAAAGGGAGAGACTTTTCGCAGTCTACCTCAATCTCCGATAATTTGACGGAGGCGGAAGGGATTGAAAACTTTTCCGAAGAATCTTCTCGCTTACGACTTAATTTTTGACTCTGAATTTTAAGTTTCACTAGTTGCCAAGCTTTCCTACGACTCCGTTGTCAGTGGAAACCACCCTAAAAACGTTATTTAAGTTTTGTCAGCACAAGTTACTGGTAACATTGCTTTCAAAGTTGTCATTTGAGTTTCGGAACTCACGTGATTTTAAGGTTAACAAAATTAGGACTGTTAAAAAAGGTAACAGTTTTTTTTAACCTTTTTCATCCTATTTTATTTTGCAGTCTCTACAGAAACTCTTGAAAGGGAATCGAGGAACGCCTCCCTTCTGGGTTTATCGGCCATTGAAAATGTTAATATAGGGGCGGCAGAGCACAAAAGGAGCAAACCTGCATCAAAGAAGGAAAACTTTCAAAACTGGCTGTCAGAAGATTCATCAAACAACATTTTTAAAGACGAACCCAATCAATGCGCAAATCAATGATTAGCCTACAGTTCGCTAGCAGTGTATATTGCAATGGTTGCAATCTATCTGTTTCAAATCTAATCTAAAAAGCGGATTAAGTGTTTGCCAGAGCCCTGTCGCCACAGGAAACCTCAAAATATTAGTTGGTAGAATACAAAACACCAAGGAATCAATAGTTTAATCTTCAATACTGGATCACAGAGGGCAAAACATATTTTTTTAAGTAACCTGCCGTGACTACTTCTTGTTATACAGTATTACAATAGTGCCGATGAATATATGTTTCAAAGTTTAAATTGTGGATAAAGTGCTTAACACCTTAAGCGAGTTCTGTCACAATATTTTAGTTTATTGTTTTTAAGCATACGAAGTTGTGTTGAAATTGAAGGAATCCTTAAAGTGTTAGGTTGGTGTAAGAGAAAACAGCAAGGACAAAAAAATACACATAACACCATTTCAGACTCTAGTTTCTGAGAGCACATAACACCGTACCCTTTTTCAGACCAAAGGGGGTTAAAAACCTTTCTCCCCCACATATCTATACACTTCATACTAAAGGAGAAGGGAAACCACTCTACCCAGCTTGGGACGTGGCTCCCCTAAACTGTCACAAAATACCGGATATAAGAACTCGGACGAGGTTGGTATGAAGGGAAAAAAGCAAAAACAAAAAATACACAACACCATTTCAGACAATGGTTCCAGAGAGCGCATAACACGGTACTCTATTTCAGACGATCCAAAAAGCAGAAATCTATATCCTATTTCAGACCAAAGGGGGTTAAAAACCACTCCCTTAGCCTCTCTCTTTCCACCTTGAGACGTAGCTCCATTAAACTGCCAGAAAACACTGGATAAAAGATCTCGAATTGAAAAAAATCTTAATTTCAACATCTGAAAACATCCCTGAAAAAGCGTTACAGAACCCCTTTCCTTCAACAATTCACCCCTCTTTTTTACTACCCCGCAATAAAAATTGTTTGATTTGAACCAACAATGATGCCAGAGAGCTAACGATTTCTGTTATGTTGGAATTCTCCAGAAATTTGTTATTTCATAAAAATTTGCTAAACAATGCTTGAAAAAACTTGTGTTTTTCTGGCACCAATCAGAAGCCAGAACGACTGCGACCGTTTGGAACTGGTGTGGTAAGACATTGTCCCCAGGGGCTCTTCTCGCCGTTCTATACTCTTCTTCGTGCCACATTCTTCCGCCCGTTTAGACTTTCCCTCGTCCCAACTATCTGCCCCTGGGTCTCCGAGGATGAAGAGATCTATGCTTGCTCTCAGCGTAGCCTGCGATCGAACAGGCTCAATAGACCTCTTTAGCTGTATGTTTTGTTTTCCCAATAAAGGTCACGTGATAATACTCCAGAGAAGTGTTCCATTAAAATTTCGTCTAATTCACTTGCACGTCTACGCATAATTTATGAGAAGACAAAGGGTCAAGTTCCCCTGGGACCTCTATAGGAAAAACAAAACATACAAGCTAAAGAGGGCTATTGTGAGAGTCCGCATCCTTCATCTTTTATAAATTCAAATCTGGCGACTACGGCAATTAAAAAATATTACGAAAACTTTTAAACAAGGCACTCTTTTCATAGGGTATTAATAAGTACAAATGTATCGCAGAAGCTATCTTAATATGCATTTTAGCCATTTCCCAACATCCCGCGTAATGTTACGGACTATAATAACAAGGATTGATTAAACTTTTGATTACAAGAATTTAAAACAACCTTTCCGTATCAAAGGACACATTGAAATGAAACGTTAAGGGGATATGTCACGCTATTTGCTATTTTTTAAAAAGCTAAAACGTGTCTTCGTATGAATTGAATTCCAAATATGATGCTTCAGTTTCTGCCTCGTACCCAGAAGTCTCTCTCGCGCGCGCAAAGCAAGGACATTACGGTCATCAAGGGATCATTTACGCCTTGAAGAACCAAATTTTAACATGAAAACTTATGGCAAGCGAGCGTTTTCCGTTGCTGCCCCCCGACTATGGAACAAGCTCCCCTTTGAAATTCGAGCTTGTTCTGATGTTAATCTTTTTAAATCTAAGTTGAAAACGTTTCTTTTTAAAAAGGTATAAGACATTTCGTTTGGTCATATTTGTTTTTGTTTTTGTTTTTTTTTCTTTCTTTCCTTTTTAAGATGTGTACAGCAGGGTTATATGTAAGCTTGTGCTTAATGATATTCTTATGTCCTTTTTTACATTGTAAAGCGCTATATTAATTCCATTGTTATTATTATCAAGGAGACATGGTTCCTTGCGGCTCATCACCAGTCGCTTGCCTCTACCTTGCGAAAAACGAAGCGCCTTAGGAGGAGGCTGCTTCAGTTTTGTTATTTAATACTATATACGTAGACATTGAAACTCTTCTGTCTTCTGTTGCTACGATGGTAAGGGTGGACACGGATTGAAACTTGAAAGAGTTGGCCATCGTTTTCAAGTGTTAAAGCTATGCCTGCAAAAATCACTCCCCTGAAATTATTATGGTTAGTGCTCACTAATGAATTTGTCTGCTATCCTTTTAAAAGCTCTACAGGAGCATAATGTTTTTGGTTATAAAAGGCACTAAGAAATGACTTTAGCATGTAATAGACCAGGTTCGAATTAAAAATTACCGCTGAATACAAACACATTCACACAGGGTTAGCCTCGACGTAAGGTAAAATATTCAGAAATTCTGGCAGGTAAGTGCTTGAAATTTGAATACAGCTATTTCGAGAAAGGTTGTCGGAAAAAGTGCACGCGACAAACCCGAAAGGTATTGTGGGTGGTTTTGAGCTCACTGTTTTTCAAAGAAATTTGAAAGAATGGCAGGAGAGGCCGTGGACATACGTCTGCGAGTGCTAAAGGAAAGCAACAAAAGTAGGTTCGACAGCTACAGTGTCAGGAACAGTGTATTGATCATATCCCATATTACTTTTCGGGATTGTCGCGTGCACATGTTTTCCGACAACCTTTCTCGAAATAGCTGTATACACAATAGACAGAGAAATAAACAGGTCTTTTTCTCGTTGGAATTTGTGAATATATTACTTCAGATGGAGGCTAAGGCTGTAAAAACTGCGTCTTCACTTCTTCAGTTCAGCGGCCATAGCGAACTCGAAACTGGACTATTGACCTGAAACGACAATATCCTGGTGACATAGCCACTTTAAAGGTTGCGCTATGATCCTTTGCCTTAATCATGGGAGAGGCCTCTGGCAAAGAATAACGGGGCATGCTACAAGATTATTAAAGCATCCACAGGGGAAGTCATTCCACTTTCCTGATCTCGTACTGTTTACCAACTTTCCATGCATATGGACGCATTCCTCTTTACCGTCAGAGTTGTTCGGTTCCCCTTCGGCCCAGTTTTCGTACTTCCCTTCCAGTGGAGTGCCTTCAATCCAATGGAACTTGGTTGCGTTAACACTAACTCTCTCTAACCCAAGCCACACACCAGATGGTGAGACTAAATCACTGTTTCTTATCAGTTCAAATACGAATTGGTCTTGAACGGCTGATTTAATTATCACAAGGTCTCCACCCATTGTCTGACATGCCTTGCGCGCGGTGCTCTGGATCTGGTGTTCTGTACCTTTTAGGTAATAACATGAGTCACCATGTGTAGACCAGCTAGCTGGACATCCTATGCGACAAAAACCAAGAAATATTAACGAAATTGCCCCATGTAAAGTGATCCAAGACAGTCTTGGATTCTGGATTCCACGCTATGAGCTCTTGATTTTCCGGACTCATTGTTTGTGGAAGTTATGGATTGAGCTGAATTCCGGGTTCCAAAGCATAGGATTCCGGATTCCACAATCATAAAATTCCCGGATTCCGGAATCCACAAGCAAAAATTTTCCAGTTCCGTAATCCGGATAGTATGAAATGTCAGTGGTCTCCTCCCCATAACTCGTTGGAAGGAAACGACTGATATTTCAGACGATAATCCGAATTTCCTTACAGGAGGCGAAAGGAAAGATAACTTTAGCAGCTACCTTTACTGGTTGCGTAATACAGGGGTGTGAGAAGCAACCACAAGTCTAACAAATCCTGCAGCCTGGTCCGTTAATGAATCGCACGGTTGTCGCAGAACACTTAATAGTGGTTATCTTTAGTTGGATTTTAAGACCTAAACCATGCCGACCGTTAAAGACTGCCTATATAACTGCGATGATCTTCATTCATATAATTCTTCACTCAGCAGTTCACATGTATGTTTTTCATATATTTATAACTTCGTCATCATCCTTTCACGGGCTTAATAACGAACCAATTCAACTATCTGCTCCCATTGGCTTGTTAGCTTAATAGCGCTGCACCGGTATCGCTTTCGGTATTGGTTTCATGCTTTCTTTTCGCAACTGCAAAAGTTGCTTATATAACTGCTATGATCTTTATTGATATAATTCTTCGCTCCGCAGTTGACATATATGTTTTTCATATATTCATAACTTCATCAAAGACTGTTAGGTTCCTCCACAAAACAAGAACGTTTCTACTTCCGTTCAGTCTACACGAGCGAATATAAATATCCCGTATCTAAGGGAAGAAGAGAAGGCGCTACACGATTCTGAGCCACAAAAATATGGTTATTTGTAAGAAACAGACCTCTTAGCAAGATTTTCTTTGAATGCTAAGGAGAAAATTTGGCCAAGAGAAGAATAAGGGAGAGAAACAACCCCACCTTGCTTATTGTGCAGACATATTTTGATTTCTTAAAGTGGCAGGAGGATGTTGCAATTACGTTCCATATTCAAGGCGATATAAGGAAGCGCCTCCAACGGCTCGACCCGGGAGCTCGAGAATAAATATTAGAAATGAAATCAGCTGAAACGCTTAGAGTAAGTACATCAATACTTTCATAAAATAAATAAACAGAAATCAATTTGCACAAAAACTAGGTAAAGGCTCACCCAATTTCACTTCGCATCTTTGTCCACCCCATGGCGGTTTACAAGAGCATGCAAACCTTTCCTTTTTCTTGTCTAACAAACACGAACCTCCATTTAGGCATCCAGTCATCAGACAACCCTATCAGTAAGACCCGTTTTATTAAAATCAGAAGAATATCATGATTAAGTAAATCATTTTCTCGCCTTCTTGAATCCTTTTCAGAGAAGATATTGTTTAATCTTGTGTTAATTCTAAGAAATTGTCTACTAACGTCAAGCAGGGAGTAAATATGCCAAGAAATTCTCACAGTTTTAATCTGTTTTAATTTAACTTTAAGTGTTAGAAATACGCTGCAGCCATTCAGCATAATGATAATAATCAAAGTTTCTGGCGTTAATAAACAACTACTCGGGAGACTGAGTCACTTCAATCTTTGATTTGGCAAAACTCGTTGCGGTAAAAGCCAGTCGCCCGAGCGATAGTTACAATTCATGGTCAGGGAGATCGTGTTTTAAAACTTGATTATACCTTTCCAGTATTTCCAGATTTGCAAAAACAATTTTTATCTTCAACAAAACATTGCCAGGGTTAAAATTTAATTGCAATTATTCCTGAACAAATCAGTGGCCTGAATACGTTTTCGTCCGGTAATTAACGAGCTCTTGAGACGAAGAAGAACGGCATCGAAAAGGCGGTGAAAACTGACGGTTTTCGTAACAAATTTCATTAACCCAAGCGGTAAATTAAACTTTTGCACAAGCTTTAATTTATCTTTGAATTGTATAACAAATTATTGACGAC